TTGTGAAGCTCCAATGTTGCTCGCCCACACAGCTCGAGAGAGGTCAGAAATGACCAAAGAGAATTGTGTCTCGCCACGTCGTCGCATTGGAGATGGATGGATCTCATGGGTACCGTCATGGATCGCTGCTGTGCAATGCTTCGTTTAACCTCGCTGGCGTGGCCATTCGCAACTGCTTAGCCGATCCATGGCCACGTCGTGCATCGAATGCAATGGGCTCATCATGCGTTGCGCAATTGTACTATCAAAAAGAAAATAATGATGTAATGTAAATAGCTTCGCTGAGTCGGCCGTCGTGTCGGGGCCAGCGTCGTCAATCAAAAAGCGTGTATACTTGTCAAGCCCTGCTTTCTCTTCTGCAGCATTCGATTTCCCCAATGCCATCGCATAGGAATCGCCCAATCAGGGCGAGGGTCCGAAAGTCGCGGCCCTACCAACACGGCGAGCTTTGCCGCCTAGGCATACCGTTGGGCTTCCACAGCCTGGCTATGCCTACAGGTAGTCAACCTTCCACTCTCAAATATCAGGTTACCGTGTGTCCTTGTCGGCCATCGTAGAATCAAACTCGACGCACCCAAGACATGGCCGAATTTACACAACTGCGGCAAAGTCCGCGCCCTCCTGCCCGCACCCATCAGCGGAGACAACATCACAGTCTGAACGAGCGTGACTGGGAGCAGACTCTGGATAACACTAGCAGTCGCTGGGCTCTTGAGACCACGGGTCGCCGCGACCGACGACACCAGAGTGATGCTCAACTGCTCATCAAGTCACTTCTCGACCTTCTGCAGATTGCGAATATCACTCCGGAGCTACCAACCTACATGCGCGATCCGTCTCGTGGGCTTCGTGAAATAAGACATGACAACCGGTCTGCGGACCGTTTGGGTCCGGGCTTGCTGCCTCCTCCTCCACGGGCCGAGACACCTTCTCGAGCAGAGACGATTGGAACGGATGATCCAGGGGTTGAGATGGGTGACTCAGGGAGTCAACAGCAAGCGACCGGGATAAGACGTAGGAACGGAGGAGCCTCAGATGTGGCTGACGATTCGGCGGAAACGACAGCCACGAACAAGAGAGGTTTTACCAAGCGCATCAGAAAGATTGCCGTTGAAAAGAAGCCAGATCCTGACGCGCTGATTTGGGACGAAATTAATGCGTCACTTGAGCCCATGCTTGACAGCCTCGACGAGGACTATCGTTACCTCTTTCTCAGCTCCGGGAGTTCGGACTTTTGCAGGATTTCTCTGGTATCTCTAGGTAACGATAAACGACCGGTTGAGCAGTGGAACTCGATACGGCAGGCTGCATACGCCCGTCGCGGCAGATGGAATTGGCCGCTTTTGCGTGGGAAACCGCGACTTGATTTAGTAGAGGTAGGTTTACTCGAAAAGATCCAGAATGACGCATTGAAGGTCAGCTCGAGCTTGAATATTGAACCTCCTGAGTAGATCCGAGCACTTGCGCCTCATCCCTCCCACGTCGGAGACCTTTGCGGACTTTACCAACTCGTGAGCCTCGAGGAGATGATCAGAGAGTTGGAAAAGAAAGTCGTCAACTACGGGTCTGTGGATTACACCCCAGGTCACGATATTGTAGAGAGATGTTTCTACAGTGCAAGACACAGGCTTCCCAGTCATAACGAGTACTGTCACGGCCACGCTGGGTGGAGGGACGACGAATATATTGACTCCGACAGAGCTTATTATTGTGGCATTAAGGAGCAACTAGAACGTTTGGAGGAGGTTTCTAAGCTTAAGGCCGCTCCACTGTGGTCTGCTACTTTAGACAACCCACTCCTGGCAGCTGGGAACTCCCTTTTCCCTTCGGGTGTGGTCAAATCTTCCAGGTTCGTCGCAAATCTATTCCTCTCCGTGCCCCTGGCGTCCTTTAGTCTAGGTGCTCATTATTTGGTTTAAGTGAAATCCGCGAAGAGATTTCAACAGCTCGGGACTCGGGCCACATTCGCGGTCTTGCTCAGATCAAGTTTACAGGCTTTCGTGTCGTGTGGCCTGAAGATGAGCCAGGTTTTGTCTTCGCCATAACATGCTGCGGAGGCGTTTTGCTTTCCTGCCTAGGAGTCCTCGGGTTCCGCGTCGCCTATGGAGATTGGGGGACAGCGTACACAGCTGGCGCGTATTACGTGGCGTTGGCAGGGATTGCTCTGGCCTGGTTTGGACGCCAAGGATTTATTGATATCTTCAAGAAAATGACGAATTGATTGTCGTTTATGGTGAACATGTTGTGAAGTCGGTTGATCATAGCTCATTCTTTGGGCTGAGAACACTGTGTCATAGATTCAAAAGGAAACTAGAAGGCCATGCTCGTGCCCTAATTCAAGACTGAGAAGGTCTCGAGTTTGACTTTCCAATGTGAAATCTCAGTCTAAATATCAATTGAGGGCCCAAAGTGTGTATGTAGAGTGCTCGTTGGTAGCTTAATCCCGTGATCTGGCAGGGCTGATTCCTCGTCATCATGCTGGATTGAAAGACGCGGTAGTGATTCTCCACGACGGCAATGAACATGCTACCTGATGGCCACGAATCACGGTGCTGTATGAGCTCCCCTCGTTTGAATGAATAGCCTGCTCAACATCCAGCGCGCTTCGGGTCGCAATGCATGCGACCAGACCAGCCTGCATGCAGGCGCACCACAAGGCATAATCCTTCCATGAACCAACTTGGCGGTTAAAGACAATTGACATATTTATTTCAGCAAATCGCAGGGACCGTACTGCTGCGCATTCGAGCCGCCTATCCACTCCAATTCACTTTGCTCTCTTCTCGCAGGCCCAAACTTTTCTCGGCCTACAACTTCGGCCTTTTGTGCGCACTTCCAGTCATGACTCATTCGGCCATGGAAATCGCGAATCTACCAGCTGTTCATCTACAAAATCGTCGTTATCAATGGGCTCCAAATGGTGGTCTGCTATTGAATCCCCAAGGGGAAGAGCTTGAGGAAGGACAGACCGGGCGCAGGGCCTTCGCGAGGCTGGTGCCCGCAGTGCTCGCCTGGGTGCCTGGTTTGCTTCTTCAGCCGAGCGCAAGACTTGAGCTCCCAGTATCTGAGACGTTAAGCTCAGAGACTTTTACCAGGAGGTTGATTGACCATCGCGACAACTTTGAGCGGGCTGAGGCGCGTGCTGTCCCAGATCCAACGGTGTCAGACCAATCTGCGGATAGTCCTTCATCAGCGGGCGACGACGAACTCCAATCGCCTTCGCTTCCTAGCGCAGCTGAGATTGAGTACGAAAACCGGGAACATGCGGGACTCCGGCAACGACGAGCACCACCTGATGGGTCAAACAAGCCCTCTGAGCCTCCCTTTTTGGACCCGATGGCTGCCCGGCGGGAGTTAATCAAGGAGGTTCTTGATCCGATCTTCTCGTCAGCACCCTGCGTCCTGCTTTGCACTGGAAAGGAAGAAGATTGTAAGATTGACCCGATCAGCGTTGGAGAGCCGGATGACGCAGTCAGTCACTGGAGAGCGATTCAACAAGCTGTGCGGCAACGACAACCTCGTTGGAAGCGTTACCTGAGACGTCCCAGGCTTCAATTTGCAATAGTAAGTGCTTTGTACCAGAAAAGTGATCTCAATGCTGATTAGATTCTTGGTCTAAAGATTCGAATAGTCGGTCGCCATCCATCACATAAAAGGTCGCTTGTCGGAAGTTTGACTCCAGTGAATGCGCACATTATGTATGCCGGTTTGAAGCAAGACCTTAGTAATTTCTACAGCGCTCATAAGTTGCCTGCCAAGAGTTGGGATCGTGAGTACGCGACTGGTAACGTCGCCGACAGAAAACGTAAGAAGCTTTCTCAGTTCGAGTTGGCGAACCTTTGGCCCAAGCTACTGGATAATCCGGAACTGGCTGTAGCGAACGACTGCCTCATAGAAGGTACCATCTATTCTACAAAGTATGATAACTCCAAACCCATCACATTGGATCTGAAATGTTCTCAAGCTATTGTTTAGGGACATAATGCCTCGAGCCAGGAACACAATAGAAACCAACTATGATTTGTTCCCCGAACTTCATAGCGTGGGCGAAACCAAGTTTGGCGGATATTGGATGAATGATACACTAGATTTCGGCGAACACATCAAGCTGGTGATATCCAGACGCACGAAGACATTCATGTTCTTCTGCACCGTGGTTTTGTGCTGGGGTCTAATTCATGGCGGGGACTGGGGGACAGCGTATACCGCTGGCGCCTTTTTTATCGCCGTAGCTGGATATGCATCGAAGGAGCTGCACTAAGCGCCATGATATTCCGTTGGCTGTAGTATGACACAAACCTAACGTCTCTGCTTGTCTAGTTGGTTTGCGGACCAAGAGTCCCATCGCGTGATGTTAGGATGCTCAAGAAATTATTCAATGCAACATGTAAACAGCTTAACAAGACATCATACGGCAGTTGGCTGAAGCCGATTAGCACAGCTATCTTCAAAGGCCCCCGGACTCTCCAACTGCACGACTGTAATCTCAACGGCCAAGACGGTCTCAATTCATCGGACACTCTCTCTGGCATTTCGTTTGCGCAATGTGTGTGCTCATGATCTTGGCGAAGAGGGGTAACTTGCCAACTACCCACCGGCACGAGCATGCGTCTTGTTTGCCCACTTCTACCAACGAATCCGGAAAATGGACCGAGCCGTTGAGCCCAGTTGGTCTCATGGGGCAATACCGGGCGGTTTGGACCGTTGGCGACGAATCCCCGTTGCAGAGTCCCTTTCAGCAACACCAACAGTTCCACTGACGGAGCGGGCCACCCATGTCCCCCGAAAGAAGGGACGGGGATTCGCTTGGGTCGCATCTAACACCCTTGCACTGTTCTCATCCGTCAAAATAACGAAAGCTCGCTCTTCCACTGTGTTGGTTCTCTTTGTTGTTTTTCACCCTCCCAACAAATCTTGACTCTCCACGAAAGGTGGCTACAACAGACAAATAGTCCGAGTAAGGGCACCAGAAGTCTACGACAAGCACGGCATCCATCAACATGGCCGCTACAATCGAACCTTTGCCCGTTGAGGCGGATGTCATTGCAACTGTCCGTTTAATCCTGGGTCAGACCGTAGGCACGACTTGACTAACATGCTGTTACAAGGCCGACGATGGAGCGTCCATTGACGAGAGAATGTGCGTGCCATCCTCAAACTTCGAACACGACACGTTTTGACACACAAATTGAAGTACTTCATACACCGCATCCATCGCAAGCAGTGTTGTAGATTATCCTGTTGAATATGGCCGACGATTCCATGCCTTCCGGCGAGGCAGTAAGTCAGCCTACTGGCTCGTGTGAGATTCTGACTGACTTGCTCATTAGCCTACATGATGCCCAATGATGATGTACGGTCACGTCTTCCACCTTCTTCAAAGGCTTGAACTAAGTTTGAGATGCACAGCTTGAAATAGGACGCCTTGACGTCGCCCACGCCATGGTGGTCCGAGCCATTGGGAACCGACTTTATCTGGCGCCTCTTGAGAAGGAGAAAGTACACAAAATTCTCGACGTCGGTACCGGAACCGGGATCTGTACGTGTATCTCCGATACTACCAGCCTCGCATCAAGAACTGCATCGCTGATCGCCTTTTGGACTGAACAGGGTCGATGGAGATGTCAGACGTATTTCCAGATGCAGAGGTCAGCCCCTTCGCTAACTTACAAACTGATTCCTCAGTCGCTAAAACGCAGCAGATTCTCGGAACTGACTTGAGCGCCATTCAACCCTCATGGTATTTTCAAAGCTAACCAAAGGCAAGACTTACAGGCTAATTGGTGGACAGGGTACCTCCGAACGTCAAATTTGAGATTGATGATGTAGAGAGCCCGTGGATTGAGGACAAGAAATATGACTACATCTTCGTTCGGCACATGCTTATTTCCATTGCGGATTGGCCGAGATTGGTGAAGAATGTCTTTGAGTGAGTACATACACTGTTTCACTTCCTTGCAAGTGGCTGATACTACCTACCCTCCTACGAAGCTAATTAAACTTTTCTAGTCATCTCAAACCCGGAGGCTGGGCAGAATTCCAGGACATGGATGTCCAGTACTACTCGGATGATGGCACTTATACTGAAGACCATCAGACGCGAAAGTGGAATAAGGATCTTGTCCGTGCCTGCGAGATGATCGGCAGAACCGGTCGACCTGGACCACAGCTCAAGGGCTGGATCACAGATGCCGGATTCCAGCAGGTCACCCACCAGAGGTTCAAGTGCCCAATGGGCCCCTGGCCAAAAGACCCTCATTATAAGGAAGTGGGCATGCTCAACTTGATCCAGCTGCTGGATGGACTGGAAGGTTTCTCCCTCAAACTCTGCTGTGATGTCCTGGGGCAGTCGAGAGAGGAAGTTCTCGCCAGGCTAAAGAAGGTTCGGGAGGAGCTGAAGGACCCGTCCATGCATGCAATCTTTGACCAGTAAGACCCCATAGCCTCTACACACACGGAACACAAACATGTACTAACCCAGCGATAGTCATGTGGTTTACGGCCAGAAGCCCGAGAATAGTAACTGAGAGATAGTTCTGGGGCATTTAATGAGCAGATTTTCACATCCTCATCTTGACCAGATTCTCTTACAAGACGTTTAATCGACAGATATGACAATCATCTCACCAGCTTCAGTTTGAATGCCATCATCTGGGATGTCCCCACTAGCTCCGTTGACCTTGAAAGAAGCCCCATTACCCACTCGCAGCTTCAAAGGATTGCCCAGCATTGAAGTGATCTCTGCTCTGGTGACAGTCCCGTCATCCCAGCTCATATCGACTTTGAACCCACCCCGTGTAATCCATCCCTTGAAGCTTCCGCTAGACAGACCCAGGTCTGAGGGAGGGATGGCCGGTCCGAGGTGGACAACGCCAGCATGGCTCTGTAGAAATATCTCCACGATGGCTGCCGTGAAGCCAGAATTGCCATCGATCTGGAAATAGCTGCCGTTTCGACTGAATAAGTTGTTGTGAACCCATCGTGATATGAGTTCCACGGCATATTTCAGCGCATTCGTTGCATCAAAAAGACGTGCGTGAAGCAAGCTTGCCCAAGTCACCGCCCAGCTGTTCCCTCCTCCGCCATTGTCCATCCGATGACGCAGCAGCTTGTACGCCATGTCTGAATACTCTGGTGTCGTGAGTGGTGTGACCCACGTTCCCGGATGGGCGCAGACAAGGGGTGAGAAGTGACGATGACCTGGTTGATTCTCCCGGTACTCCCGGGAGTACTCGAGCAGTTGGCCAAACGAGCCCGCGACAGGAGGTTGGATCTTGTCCCGAAATGATCTGGCGCGATCAACTCCTTCATCAGAGCCAAGAGCTTCAGATATCTCGAGAAAGCCGGACATGACTTCCCACATGATTGCTCGATCGTTCATGGCCCCTGCATCAATCCCCGTAGTCTCTCCAGCCACAGTCATATTCTCAGGTATGTAGTAAGAGTTCTCAGGGGAGCAGCTGGGATTCGTGATCCACCAGCCGTCTCGCTCCGTCGCCCAGCTATAGATGAAGTCCATTGCGCCCTTCAAGATCGGCAAGATGCGTTCACGCGCGTATGTCTTGTCTCCAGTAAATCTGAAGTGTTCAATAGCTTCAAATGCGAGCCAGGCACCACCAAGCGGGTAAGGTGCTGCGATTGTGATGGCATGGAACGGCGTGCAGTCGCCCGTGATATCAGTGTTGTGATGACAGCACCACCCGTCGGCTCCATACATACCTTTTGCAACTTCACTACCAGTTACAGCTAGCCGATCGAGGAAGTCAACAACCGGGTCCGCAATCTCTGGTAAGTTCAGGGGCTGCGCAGGCCAGTAGTTCATCTCGAGGTTGACGTTGATGGTGAACTTGCTGTCCCAGGGTGGCCCAAAGTCCCTGTTCCAGATGCCTTGAAGGTTGGCCGGGAGAGATCCAGGCTGCGATGATTGGATCAGGAGGTATTTTCCAACATTGAACTGAAGCGCCATGAGTTCGGGGTCAGTCGTAATGTTACTTCCCCGCTTCCAGTTCTCAAGTCGGGCAATTGTGTCTTTGGTGCCAATCTCATGTGATGTGCCGAAGTCGATGGAGGTACGGTCGTAGTATTCCTTGTAATCCTCTACGGCTTCTTGTTGGATTGCTTCGTAGCCAGCCTCCTGGGCTGTTTTCAGTCGGCCGATGACTATAGTCTCCAACTGCTCCATCGTTGCGTCGGGGTGTCTGAAGGCCGTCTCTGCTGTGTAAATAATGAAGACGTCCGTGGCATTCCTGATGCGCAAAGCAGTTCCATTGCTGATGACATCGCCAACTCCTGTCAAAAGAGATCAGTCACGCTCAAAACATGTTCTTAATATCATCAAAGCTTACCGTCAGGTACCAATACCTGAGCCTGAGACACAAAGCGGTAAGTGTCGTCTTCCTCCCCAGTCCCATGTAGTCTGAGAATACTTCCGGCAGCATCCGCCGTCAGCTCAGTAACGTTTCTATCTCTTGACAGAGAGACGTCGAGGCTAAGAGACCCGGAACTGTTGCAAGATAACCTAAAAGCCAAAATATTCTTTGGGGCATTTCCAAACGCCTCCCTGGTATACTCCACTCCGCCGAAGACGTAGCTCAGAGACGAAAGTCCGCTCGAAACGTCCAGTGAATGTCTGTAACCTGATGTCTCGTTCAGAGTATGATTGAAGTCAAGTCTCAGTTCTCCCGCGGGCTGGTAACGTCGCATGTCATCGTATTCAGGCGTAAAGTTGGCGACCCAGTTCTGGTCAGCTTCTGTCAGATGTCCATCAAGTATTTGCTCTCGAAGAGGCTCAAGTGCATCGAGGGCAGTTGATGGTATCTTGTTCATCGGTCCTCCGCTCCAGATGGACTCTTCATTGAGACGGATGAGCTCCTTGTCGGTGTAGCCATGAATCATGGCTCCCAGGCGGCCATTACCAATGGGAAGAGCCTCGTAGAAGTCTCGAAGGGCAGGTTGGCTGTACCATAGTATGTGCGATGCTTCCGATGAGGCCCCAGATAGCCCAGCCAAAGCTAGCAGGAAACAAGCAACTACTGGCGGAACTGAATTCATAATGCGACGCGGATGAGCGATAATATTGTGTCAACTAAAACTGGAGGCACCCGGCAAAGAGGCAGATGTGGCATATCGCACCAATAGCTTCTACTATATTATATATCTGCAGAGGACATTTTCCCACTGAATAACCTCATCGAAGCATCCTCGGAGTATCATTACAGCAGCCCATACGTAATTATTTCGCCGCAGTAAGCCCCGCTGACCTGCCCGCTTCTTGGCAAGGAAGCGGCGCTCATCTCTTTCCTCTTTGAGTCCGGAGGCCAGCCTCCTCAAAACCATTAAAATATTACCTCTTAGGGTATGCGATTGATTCGCAACACCAATGTGGCAGGTGGACCTGTCCGACCTGGATCGACCGCACATGTGTCAAACGTTGCGCCACACAATACTTCACGCACGCAAAAACACACAGAAGGTGTGCCGGTCCAGCACTTGATGAAACTTTTCAACATGGAGCTCTTCGTATGGATAGCCTTTCCAAACCATTCATTCAGCCCCCCTAGGTACGTGCTGCGATGCTACTGGACAGACCGATGTGCTTTTACTGGCTGTCTTCCCTACTGTGAAGCCCCTATGCTGGGTGGGCTAGAAACTTCCTGCAATAGCTTCCCGAGATCATGAAGATGAACCTAAACCTCGTGAAAGTGCATCTAAGCTCTCTCTAAGGCTTGCTAGCTGCAAGAGCCTCTGTAGGCTATGAATAAAATGTAATTTTCCTCTGTGGCCGATAGCAGCTGAACATGCGATTCGTTGTTTTGGGAAGGCTCCAATACTAGGTCCTGTGCTCAATCACGGTCGTCCATAAGGGTTCAAGTAGTCAAGATGCCAACCACATAGGTTACGCCGTTTAAAATCTCAACTTTAAAAATCCCTAAAGTTTCCTTTTCAATTTTCTTACTTGTAAAGCACCACCGCTTCCTATCTCCTCACCTCGACTCAGTTTTCCAGTTTTCTTACTTACACAGTACCAACAATTTGGACTCTGACCTCTCATATTGAGCGATATCGTTCCCGAAATCAGTACTTCATCACGGCTTGTCCCAGAAAGACTTGGCTCAAAGGAACAGCATGAACCGACCCAGCGAAGAAGCAACAAAGAATGATGTTGACCAACCAATAGAGTTTCTAGAGCTTTCCCTGGAGTTGGTCACGATGATTGCAGATGAATTACCGTTGCACGACAGATTTCTGTTGTCACAAACCTGCTCCGCGCTACGGGCTTGGGGCGCCAGAGGCTGTAAGCAGGCAATAAAACGGCTTCACCGAGGGCCACGCCTCACCTTCTGGACCCAGGTTGCGCGCAGTCTCTCCGGCTACTGGGTCTGCAAAGTGTGTTGTAAGCTGCACAAGACAGATCCACGGGACGTGCCTCGGCATGGGTTAATACCTCCCTGTCAAAAAGGCCAAGTCCGAGAGTTTGATAGGATGTACAAGCTCCGACAGACTCATGTGCAGCTTGCCCTCAAGCTCTCTCGGCGAGGGGATGGGAACCAGGAGTACCTCAGGAAGATTATGGCTCCCTTCACGTTGGGCCAGGCTGCGCTACCCAACCGGTCTTTGTTTTACTACCAAGCCACGCCAAAAGTCGTCTCTGGACGGTTCCTGTTGAAGACGGAATGGTATTTCTGGCGTCACAAGTACCGCGCCCGAGTAGCTTGCAACGTCGCGGACGAATTTAGCCCGAGAGGCATCTGTCCCCATTTGTTCGTCAAAGAAGCGCGCGCATGGGGCGATTTATTTTGGGAGGATATTAATAAGGCTGACGAGTCGACAGAAGAGGTCCAAGGCTACTGTAGGAAGTGTCCAACGTACTACACGATTCAAACCGAAGGCGACGCGGCCCGTGTGCGTGCTTACTACGACTTCGGTGCCCAGGAGCACCCAGTGAATCGGTTCTGGGCTGCTCACACTACACAAAGCGTGAGGTTGAGGAGGTATATTGATCCCTGGAAGATCAAATATGCATTTGACCATCCGACTGAAGAGAGCGTCATTGAGGATCCTGAGCTTTCTGATTCTGATTCTGATTCTGACTAGCACTGATCTGAAGAGTCGCGGTGTATGGACGTGGGCTCAGGTCTTGCGTATCAAAGCTCAACTACCAGCCGATGTCTTGCGCAAACGTATGTTTGAATTTGTTTCTCACGTAGCATCGATGTACTTTTGTATATAAGGTATCTTTCTTAAGACGAAGATGTGTCTGCATGAATTACTTATCCTGTTGATGTATACTAACCTCAAACTCACGTTTCTACAGACTAGAAAAGAACATCAGCCTAGCAAAGAAGGTTATGCCCAGACGAATTCTATCTTATTGCGTAGTCACCCAGTGGAACGTGGCTTCAAGTGATTGGAGACTGGAACACTGGTAACGAGTCGTACTGCGGGAGTTATGTTCCCGTTTAAGAAGAGCCCCGAAAATTGTAAACCATAGTTTAAGTGTTCGGGCGGTCTTCGGTGCAAGGAAACC